TTTTGTGGAAGAGCCACACTCAAGGGGCCAAAGAGCCGCATGTGGCTCACGAGCTGCAGTTTGCCGACCACGGCTTTAGAGCATCTATACTTGGATCTCTTTTAGCCACAATCTATATCACCCACAGGGGTAACAGGGCTTTTGTTTTTTCTCTCTATACCCGTGAGGGCCAGTGAGTAGACCCCTTAAAGGACCCTGTGGTGATTTCACATGGCTGAAAGGTGGGAAGGGGTGCTTTTCTCTGATATGCCAGGGCCTTCCACATGTGACCCAGCCTGAGAGAGCTCTCCTGACAACCAGCACATGCTCTTTAGCGACGCGGCCGTGTCTTTTACATGGAGTAGAAATATAGCACAAAAGCATAACTGTCCACACTGATTTTCACAGTGTTCTTTCAGACAAGAGAATGAATACAGTGATGCGCTCTCCACTTTTGAAATTCCACGAAGATAATTTGGTTTTGATGAACGAGCAAAGTTTTCCCCTAAAGCAGGGGAAACCCTTCTTTCTGCCTACAGCCATTTGGAGATTTATAGCAACATTTGTGGGCCATACAGAATTATCAACTTGACAATTAGCTTGCTCCACTTGGTCAAACTAATTAATTCACCCTTAATGCTTTGGCAGGGCCAGACCAAATGCTTTCCAGATCCGTATATGGCCCTTGGGCCGGACGTTCCCCACCCCTGCTCTAAAGTAAAGGTTTATTTTCAGATGACTGTTCTTTCTTTTGTAAGCATTATGCTCTTTCAGAACAAAACTATATAGAGCAGTGATTTCCAACTTAGTTGAATTATTTAACTTAAAAAATGATTTTAGAGAGAGAGGGAGGGAGAGAGAGAGAGAGAGAAAGAGAGAGAGAGAGAGAGAGAGAGAGAGAAGAGACATTGATTTGTTGTTCCACGTATTTAATGTGCCCTGACTGGGAATTGAACATGCAACCTTGGTGTATCCCGATGATACTTTAACAACTGAGCTACACCACTGGGCCTAATTTTTTTTTTTTTCACTGAGTAATCAGATTCAGTTACCATCTTCCTCTTCCTTAAATATAATTATGTAGAATGGTTGTACAGAATTTTATAACATTACTTTTACAAAGTTTCATTGGTTTTGAAGGCAGAGAGAAATACTTAAATGTTGCAACATCCTTACCAAGGGCTGGTAATCGGCTGTCTCCACACCTCTGGGTAGATTTCAACACCCACAGGGCGACTTGTCATCGAGAGGAGGGTGCCAAAATGGGGAGTTTTCTGTTTCTATTTATCAGTCTTGTCTTCTTAGAGTGTTGTCTGAGCACATTTAGTGAGCGACTGGGCTAAATTTAACAAATGTTCTCTTAGGAAAATGTGTGCTACGGAATTCTGGTTTGGCCTGTTCTTTGTCCAAAAGAATGTTGCAACATCGGGAAGCACTGTGCTCCCTGCTGGGATTCGCTGAGTGGAAAAGGGTGGGAAGGATGGGGAGGCGGAGGCTGCCTTAGGTGAAGCAGCACCAGCTAGGACTGTGCACGAGGACTCCCCACCCTGTGCATTTCCATGTCTCCTGCATCCCATTTTCCCCATCCTCTCTTGTGCCTACTATTAGCCGGGTCTAGCTGCATACCAACTTCGCCACAACGTGTGTAATGGCTCAGACATCCTACAAACGCACTTCTTGCTGAGTTAACGGCGATGGATGGTGGACACATTGGTGGGCAGCTCTCCTTCATGTGGCCCCCTGGGGAAGTCAGGTGTGACAATGTGGCCATCCTCATCAGGAAGTTGTGGAGGTCAGTCTGGGCGCTGCCTCTGTTCCAGCCAGCCAAGGAAAGGGACGAGGAGGACAGTGTGTGGGATGCCTAGCCGTGGCACACACCAGTCCTGCTCACATTTCTCTCTCTCTCTCTCTCTCTCTTTCTCTCTCTCTCTCTCTCTCTCTCTCTCTCTCTCTCTCTCTCTCTCTTAACATATTTTATTGATTTTAGAGAGGAAGGGAGAGATAGAAACATCAATGATGAGAGAGAGAATCATTGATTGGCTGTCTCCTGCATGCCCCACACTGGGGATCAAGCCTGCAACCCAGTCATGTGCCCTTGGCCGGAATTGAACCTGGGACCCTTCAGTCCACAGGCTGATGCTCTATTGCTCACATTTCTTTTGCTAAGAGTCAGCTATGGGGCCGCATCTCACTGTGAGGGAAGCTGGGGATGGTCACCTCGGGAAGACGAGAACTCTTTATTAGCCTTCCAGGGCTACTATAACAAAACCCAACTCTACTTAAATTAAAAAAAAAAATAGTTAAAAACAAAACCATGAATTTTCTGGGGCCACAAATGTGAACTTGTTGAGCAGCTGACAGCCTCTTTCCTCCTCCCCACTTTGCCATTTTGTCTGGTTGCATTTCTTGTGTTCGTTGAGGGTCAGATCCTGGCTCAGAGGCAGATGAGTAGATTGAGATTCCCGGTACCACTGCTTAATGGCAGATGTGTCTCTCAGATTCCTCATCTCTGAAAGTGCGTGAACATTTCTACCTGGCAGAGTTATTTGAGGAGTAGATATAGGAAACACCCACTGTAGGGTCTGGCCTGAAGAATATTAGCGTAATTCCCTTCCCTTACTTTGGTGACACCTGGTCTTGCAAACAGTACTCGGGACTGAAATGCTCAGTGACCTTTGCAATAGGAAGTCACGTGTTCTCAAAAACTATGTGGAATGTCGAAGGTGGTCTCCGAGGTTGTCAGGCTCTGTACGAACTCGTGAGGGTACAGAACCAGCGCCCATTGGAGGCAATCTGCCATGGGTCTCCCTGGGGAGAAACACGGCTGACCTGTGTTTTACCTGAATTTTATGAAGATAACCCTTTCATTGGGGCTCTTTCTAAAAAAGAAATACTTTTATTGATTTCAGAGAGGAAGGGATGGGAGAGAGAGAAACATCAATGATGAGAGAGAATCATCGGTTTGCTGCCTCCTGCACGCCCCCTACTGGGCATCCTGCCCACAACCCAGGCATGGGTTTGATTGCCCTGACTGAGAATTAAACCATGATCTCCTGGTTCATAGGTTGACACTCAACCACTGAGCCACGCCAGCTGCACCAATGAGGCTCTTTTATGAATTAATCTTGTTCTGAGCTAAGTTGAATGGCTAAGAAATAAACAGTATTTTTTCTGTTTTTAAAGATAACCTATAAATCATTTTGAATTAACTGGTAAAATCAGAATATGTGATAAATACTCATTGATTAATTTTTTAGGGATTTTGTTAGCTAATGTACATCTAACATATAGTGGAAGGCACACAATGTTATAATTTATGTAAGAATATTATACATTTTCTTATGTTACCATTTAAGTGCAGTAGATTGTTTTGTGAGAATTTCCACAGCTTATAGAGTTGTGGTAAAATGTTGACTTTTAGCTACATGGAAATTTGCAGCTAGGAGAGGTAAATTATTAACATAATCCTTAACATTTTTAAAAAATAAGTATGTTTTTTAGTTATTAGGTAGAAGCTTGTGTTTAGGTTTCTTCTTTAAACAGCTCTTTAGGAATGTCTCCAATCTGCTAAAACATGCTGCTGACCAATATGTGTCGTTGGCATCAGTACATTGAGAAATATCTGCAGGCTTTGATTTGTGAAACCCAGGTTTTTGCTGGCCTGGCTTTTCCTGTGGTTCCTTGACAAGTAATTAATTACGCAGAGAACATTTTTCCTGTGGTTCCAAGGGTGGAGCTCACAGAGAAAGGACTTTGCTTGAGTTACCATTTGCCCACCAGATAAATTTATGAGTCTTTTGGGGTTTAACCACCTGTTCTTAGGCAACATTTCAGTATAAATGTATTGGTATAATAAAGGTCATTTGATTTGTTTTGTTTGTTTGTTTCCCATTAAAAAAAGAAAAAAAAAAAGCCTTCTGCTTGACTTTAGCTGGGGTCAGGATCTCTGTGTTTTCAGACACAGTCCTCTTAGCCTCCATAGTCGTGTTCCACTGAGCTGGAGGGGCTGCCTCATCAGACCATGCATCCATGGCACTTTCTTTTAAAAAAATATACTTTATTGATTTTCTTTTATAGAGAGGAAGGGAGAAGAATAGAGCGTTAGGAACATTGATGGGAGAGAAACATCAATCAACTGCCTCCTGCACACCTACTGGGAATGTGCTTGCAACCAAGCAAAGTACATGCCCTTGACCGGAATCAAACCTGGGACCCTTCAGTCCGCAGGCTGATGCTCTATCCACTGAGCCAAACCGCAAAGGGCCATGCCACTCTCTTGACTCTCCTCAGAGTTATCTCGTGCTAAATCAGGATAGATGAATATATCATGCAGGAATACCTGGCGATGTTTGTTAACATGATTAGGAAGCTTCTGTTTTGTAATTCATACATTACTATTGAATATTCCCCTGACATTTGTGATTTTCATGAATCATTCAGTTTGGGTGCACATTGTTTCCTTGATAGCTTATTATTATGCTTTTTAAAAATTTTATTTCTATTTTTTTAAACCAAACCAAGCAACATGTTTCTCCCTCATGAGTGGTGCTGGAGGTAACGCTTTGGGAAGAGCCGTGCTGGGATTTCCGTTAGCTCCATCTCCTGCCCTATGCTTCCTTAGAGAATGACCGCTCTCGCCTGTGGTATGGACTTTAGGGGTCTCCTTTTTTAAAAAAAAATATTTTATTGATTTTTCACAGAGAGGAAGGGAGAGGGATAGAAAGTTAGAAACATTGACGAGAGAGAAACATCGATCCACTGCCTCCTGCACCCCCCCCCACTGGGGATGTGCCCGCAACCAAGATACATGCCCTTGACCGGAATCAAACCCGGGACCTTTCAATCCTCAGACCGACGCTCTATCCACTGAGCCAAACCGGTTTCGGCAAGGGGTCTCTTGAAAGAGTTTAAATTTCAGTTGCTGAGTTCCCGAGCGCCCAGAGACGACTGTAATACTCAGGATATAGTTTTTTTTAAAAAGATTATGAGGTAATTTGTACTGTTTCCCTTGGTTTTACTAGGTAAAAAAGCGCCGGTTCTGTTTAGTAGAGAAATGATCGAGTCCATGAAGGAAGGTTCAGTGGTTGTGGATTTGGCTGCAGAGGCTGGTGGAAACTTTGAGACCACGAAGCCGGGAGAACTGTATGTCCATAAGGTATCACTCACAGCTCCCTCTCCTACGAACCAGGTCCTACATCTCCGCCGATGGGTGTGAGCGTTTATTTTGTTGTCTATTTAGAAACACTGAAGCCTGAACATTTTTAGAAATAAAAAAATAGGCACGTCTAGAGCTGCTTTTGGAATGTGCATTTGTTTGTGAGCCTGTGTATGCATTTATAAAGACGCAGGTTGTGAAACGTGGCCTTGCCTGTGACTGTGGCTTGTCCGGGAAAGAGGGGGAGCACACGCACAGGCCTCTCTGACCGCGTTTTGGTTCCCTCAGGGGGTGACCCACATAGGTTACACAGACCTGCCCAGCCGCATGGCCACGCAGGCCAGCACCCTGTACTCCAACAACATCACCAAGCTCCTGAAGGCCATCAGCCCGGACAAGGACAACTTCCACTTCGAAGTGAAGGATGACTTTGACTTTGGCACCATGGGCCACGTCATCAGAGGAACCGTGGTGATGAAGGTGGGTACAGAGATCTGTGCTTCCCTGAGTTTCCATGTCAAACTTGGTGTAGGGTGTCTGATCATGGAAGAATTGAGGTCGGTTCTAATAAAGGAGTGATGTGTTCCTTTTTTATTGCCAATCAAGTTGTTTAAAAATGCAGAATGACTTAAATGTTGCAAAGACTTATATGCAGTCGGTCCTTGGGTTAGGTCGGAGATCCGTTCCTACGGTGCAACACAAAGTGATTTTTGCTGTAAGTCAGAACCCACCTACATAAGCACCTATGTCACTCACATGGAGCACATACAGCAGTAATGACGTGAAACAGTAAAAATAATTTAAAAGAAAGAGAACAATTCCTGATCTTTTCTTGTGATAAATAAATAACAAAAACCATAAAGCACATATGTACATACGTCGAAATGACAGAACTTTTTTTTTTTTTTTTTTAATAAATAAATGGGAGATGTGACGTAACCATGAAATTATGTATGTCAGTCCGATGTAACCCGGGGACTGCCTGTACACACATGACACACCGAAAAGATGCAGTTTTTTAAAAACAGAAATAAGCAAGACAAAAAAAATCAGAATTGAATAAAGTGAAAATGAAATGTTTCTCAAACCTAGCTGCGTTTAAGGATTTGATCTGTATTCTTTATATGTGTTCTATGCACATACAAGGTATATATCTATGCATGTATGTGTAACACAAACATATATTTACATAAATATGCATTCTATATTTACATAAAGCTAGAGGCCCATGGCACAAATTCGTGCACAGGCGGAGTCCCTCGGCCTGGCTGGCCATGGGGCCATTGGGGCCATTGGGGCCATCGGGGCCATCTTTTCCAGTCCTGATCAAGGCTGATCGGGCTGGTCAACCTGGGGCAGTGAGGGGTTGGTCTGCCTGGGCCACGGGAGGTTGGCTATGGGAGTGCACTGACCACCAGGGGGCAGCTCCTGCATTGAGCATCTGCCCCCTGGTGGTCAGTGAATGTCATAGCAACTGGTTGAGGTCGACTGGTCATAACAGTTGCTTAGGGTTTTAGATATCTTATAGATGACAATTTATAAATTATATGAATTTACTTATTTTTACTTATTTATTTTTTGTTAATCCTCACACAAGGAAATTTTTAAATTGATTTTAATAGAGAGAATAGAAGGGGGTGAGGTGTATGTGAAAGAGAGAGAGGTCAATTGGTTGCCTCCTGCATACACCCAGACAGGGCCTGATTGAACCTGCAACCCAGATATGTGCCCTTGACCAGAAATCAAACCCGCAACCATTCGGTGTGCAGGCTGATGCTTGGAGCATTGAGCACACCAGCCAGGGCTATACACATTTATTTAAAAGAACAGTTTTTCTCCTTCCTACAGATTTTTAAAACACTGGATTAACTTAAGAAATGTGTTTTTGCTCATTTCTGTTAGGATGGTGAGGTGATTTTCCCTGCTCCCACTCCGAAAAACATTCCTCAGGGCGCCCCCGAGAAGCCGAAGACAGTGGCTGAGCTGGAGGCTGAGAAGGCAGCCACCGTCACGCCTTTCAAGAAAACCATGACCACGGCTTCGGCCTACACTGCAGGTGAGGCCCGCTCGCCAGGAGGTGGTCTGGAGGATCTGGATTTGGATAGTCCTGTCAGGAGTAGTGAGTGAAATGCTTCTGCCCACCTTTGGATTCCGTTAGGCATGGGGCCCCTAGAAGCAGGTTTCCATACACATGCTATCTGTCCCACCTGGAGAAGTTGGAGATGGTGTAGTCTTGCTACCCCAGGAGCTGACAGGCACCATGCTAAATGCTGGCATGAATACTTTTAAATACTTTTTTATGAACAGTATGATTGTTCATACTTTTTTTTTTTTTTAAATATATATTTTATTGATTTTGTACAGAGTGGAAGGGGGGAGAGAGATAGAGAGTTAGAAACATTGATGAGAGAGAGTCATCGATCAGCTGTCTCCTGCACACCCCCTACTGGGGATATGCCCGCAACCAAGGTACATGCCCTTGACTGGAATCAAACCCGGGACCTTTCCGTCCCCAAGCTGACGCTCTATCCATTGAGCCAAACTGGTTTCGGTTGATTGTTCATACTTTTATCTACGTCAACTATATTGAGTGTAGCGATGTACGTCAGATGGTGTTGACGTGAAGTGTGGATTCATGGTTGTTTATTTGTTTATTTGAGGTTTATCAAACATCAGTTCTGACGGTCTGCGCAGCTGGGTTAGACCGGGGAACGCTGGGGAACCAGATGATTCCGCGGAAGAGTGGGCACTACAGGCATAGCCTTAGAACATTTGGCCAACATGCTAAATTATCCACCTTCTACGAAAAAATTCAATGTTTAAATGCTTATCTCTTTTCTTTACAATTTAATATCCAGCCTTTGTTTTTAAATTCATTTAAATATATATATATATTTTTTATTGATTTTTTACAGAGAGGAAGGGAGAGGGACAGAGAGCTAGAAACATCGATGAGAGAGAAAGCTGCCACCTGCACACCCCCCACTGGGGATGTGTCTACAACCAAAGTACATCCCCCCGACTGGAATTGAACCTGGGACCCTTCAGTCCGCAGGCCGATGCTCTATCCACTGAGCCAAATCGGTTTTGGCTTAAATTCATTTTTTTTTTTGGAAAGCACTAAAGTGTTATTATAACATAAGGATAAATATTCATTCTGGCTATGACTTGTTGAGTCTGACATATGGATATTTGATATTTTATTGGTTTTTCTCTCTCATAGAATAAATTAAAAAATGTTTAGATCTGCTTAGAGCCAAAACAAACCCAAAACAAAAGCAAACTCTGAAGAATTAAGGACCAGCACCAGGCAAAGAATTCTTGTAGTCTCAGCATTCCCCCGATTCCCATATGAGTCCAGATGTTTGAAAGCCCAGTATGTAACTCTCCTTGAATAAAAGAGCAAATCTCAGCGAAGTGACTGAAAGAACCTCTAATTGTGAACGTTGTGAGTAAATGGGCAGTGTCCCTATTTGCACTTGTTTGTTAAAAAAAAAATGAAGCCGAATTATTGTCATGTACACGGAGAGTACATGTATCAGTAGGATTGCTAGTTGCCATTTCTGTTTGAGATTCATGAGGAAATTTAACGATTCATTTTTCTAGGTTTTTCTTATATATGTTAAGTTAAAGTTTAATGCATTTTAATAGGTATGACAAGGACATATTCCAGTGAATAAAAGGATAGCCCCATATGTGTTTTTCTCTACCTTGAACTTCCTTCTTTGTAATGAAAACAAGTAATTTTTATTATGTACATGTTAGGAATCTATTTGAATGGCATACTTCAAGGAATTTGATTTTATCCCTCTCCCCTTTTCTTTGCCTTCTGCCTTTCTCTTCTTTTTCTTTTGTTACACAGACTATAGAAATTGGGCATTTGACATATTTAGGTGTATTGTAGAAAACACATTAGTTTATTAAATAGTTGATAAGAAAACCTGCAGATGTGATTTCTGTATCTTCCCACATGAGGACAAAGGTCTAATAAATTAAAAAAAAATATATATTTTGTTGATTTTTTACAGAGAGGAAGGGAGAGGGATAGAGAGTTAGAAACATCCATGAGAGAGAAACATCAATCAGCTGCCTCCTGCACACTCCCTACTGGCATGTGCCTGCAACCAAGGTATATGCCCTTGACCAGAATCAAACCTGGGATCCTTGAGTCCGCAGGCTGACGCTCTGCCCACTGAGCCAAACCGGTTAGAGCAAGGTCTAATAATTTTACAGATGAGGATACTGTAGCACAGAGATGTTAAGTAACTTGTCTGAGATCACACAGCTAGCAAGCAGCCGAGTCGGGATTTGATGCAGGCACTGTGGCTGGAGGAAAGGTATTCTTCACCACAGTCCCATGCAGCTTCTCTACAGATTAGCTGGAGCATCAGACAATATCCTGTCTCTCTCTGCACTGGAACTCTTCTATGTGTGTGTGTGTGAACATAAAAATGAAAACTGCAGTATTACTGAATGAGTTAAGGTAAAATGAATGTCAGTTCCTACACGTTCTGCCTGTACCACTCACTTATAAAGAAATAACTCGCATCCAGGACCCTCTTCAGCTCCCCGGCTGCCTGCTCTTATCCCGCGTTTCCTGACCACTGGGTCACCCTTCCTTCTGTTCCCAGCAGCCGTCCACATGTTTGCTGTTAGGAGAGGTGATAATTGAAGATGTATGTCCAGAGCCGGCTGTGTGTATTGTGACATTCTTAATTTAATTGGCCGCGTTCCCTTGCCTTTGTATGATCCTGTTTGCTGACTTGGTGCTGAGGCTGGCGCTGCCGGCCCGGCCCGCGGTCCAGGCGCAGATTCGGGAGCAGTTGCAAAACTGGGGCCTGGGTGGGTGGAAGCCACATGCCTGGGAGGTGCCGCAGGCACTGAAACCCTTCCCACTCGTTTCAAACCCCCTCCCTCAGCCGCATCCGAGCTGACACCGGACTGGCCTCACAGGGGCCCTGTCACACAAAGGTGGCATCTTGCCCGAGTGGGAAATGCTTGGGGAGATCCATAGGCCTGTCACTGGGGAAGAAAAACACTTGTCTAAACACATGTGACATTGTCGGGGACACTTAAAACAGGGCAGGGAACAGGCCCCATGAAGGAGAATGTGCACGTTGCTGTTCAGGTGACTCATCCCTTTGAATAGATTTTACAGTTTATTTTATTTTGGGGGCAGGTGGCCAGGACGCTGTTCAAAATACCTCTCTTCCTCCTCTCTCTCCCTTCCCAACCATGAAATGTCTCAAAAAAAAAAAAAAAAATCTGCTCATGACCGGCAAGGGTGTGGACGTTAAAAGCGCTGGCTATTCCACGTGTTTACTTGTACGTGGGTGTACATGTGCTTTCAATCTCGCCACGATGCGTGGCTGTCAGCTCATCCTCCTTCCTCTCCTTCTGCAGGTCTCACCGGGATTCTGGGCCTGGGCCTCTCAGCTCCCAACTTAGCCTTTTCCCAGATGGTGACCACGTTCGGCTTGGCCGGCATCGTGGGCTACCACACCGTGTGGGGAGTGACCCCCGCCCTCCACTCGCCGCTGATGTCCGTGACTAATGCGATCTCAGGTTTGTCCCTCCCTTTCCCCTCCTTCTCCCCCGTCTCGGGTTTGCATGGGTTTATGGAGTGCTTTCCAGGAGGTTTATGAAGTCTGTGTGTGCAGATGGTCTGGCTTGGCGTCAGGGGCTGTGGTTGTGGTGGCTGGGGCTCCCACAGGCACGGGGTTGGGCTGGGCTGTTTCCACCTCCAGCAGCGCAGCCACTGTCATTTCCTTTGCTGTGAGCGCCGTGGACTAAGGGGACATCCCTCTCCCCTCCCCTGCAAAATATTTGGGAAGCAGGAGTCCATAGACTCGTGGGCAGCCTCCCCCTTAGATCTGGCTGAGCGTGCAGCCCAGCAAGCCCGCAGCCACTGCCCCTGATGTGAGGTCACCTGCAGCTATGGGGCAGGACCCAGCGGCCAGTAGGGCAGCATGGGCAGCTCCCTGGGTGCCAGTCTTCATAGAGGGCCCTGCCGCAGTCCACGCCCTGCCCGGGGCTGCTCCCTGTGGCCCCAGGGAGAGCTTGGATCCGAGGAACGAGGCCCACATGGGACACACAGGGAGCTGCCCTGCTGGATGTGTGTTGACCGCTGTGGGCCTCTCCTATAACGCAGCCATAGGCACAGCTCTCCGGACCTCCGCAGGGAGGATGTCCAGTTCCCAGAAGCATCATCTCAGGAGAGAGCCCTGAACGATGGCCTCGCCATCACGTGTGCTAGTCCAGGACTGTTCCTTCCATTTCAGTTGCAGCCTGGTCCCCTGAGGGTCCCTTTTCAACATCGCAACGTTAGCTAACGGCCTTTTTGGTTTATGTCGTTGGCAGGGGAACGCAGATAGAAAGACAGGGGAAGGGCAGGGATCGTATGCAAAAGGGGAGGGGTGCTGTTAACTCTTTGCCCAAATGGTACTTCGGTGGGAAGGCTGTGTGAGGACTTTCTCCATTATGAACCTGTGCCTGCGGCATCCTTCTGCTGTGACATTGAGTGGCACTGTGGCTGTTTACCATCTTCTGTTTTTAAATATATATATTTTTTATTGATCTCAGAGAGGAAGGGAGAGAGATAGAGAGACAGAAACATCAATGATGAGAGTGAGTCATTGATTGGCTGCCTCCTGCACATCCCTTACTGGGAGGGAATAGAGCCTGCAACCCAGGTATGTGCCCTTGGCCGGAATCGAACCCGGGATCTTTAGTCCACAGGTTGAAGCTCTATCCATTGAGCCAAGCCAGCTAGGGCGTTGTTTACCATCTTGATGCTTTCTCCGCAGGGCTGACTGCAGTTGGTGGGCTGGCGCTGATGGGCGGGCATTTGTACCCCACCTCCACGGCTCAGGGCCTCGCTGCTCTTGCTACCTTCATATCCTCCGTCAACATCGCAGGTACGATGGCAGAGACAGAGCCACAGTCCTATTTGGAACGGGGGCATGAGAAGCCAGTATAAATGAGTAGAAAATAGACATGCAAATTAAAAATGTTTCACTTATTTCACTCATTCCTCTATGAAGGGGAATTAGTTACTTTGCCTGTCTGTATGTTTTAGAAACTCCTTTGATAAAACTGTCAAGGTCCCAACACAAATAAAACAAATACAAGTTAGCTGGAAAGCTATTAAATGCATAGTTGGGCATTAAGTTGATGAATTATTATCACCATAATATCTCTAGATTAGAGTCTAATTTGAGATAAAAAATTTTAGTCTCTTGCCTTAGCTTTGCTTGTGCTTATTTCTAAAAACTGAAAGCTTAGCACATAATTTTGAACCTCATTTGATGCTATTTTGTAGCTAAAAATGCTGTAAGGGTCCAAGAAATTCGGTGTCTGTTGATGTGGTATTTTATAGGCTTTAACAAACAGGATAATCTATTAGAAATTAACCCTGCCTTTGATGGGTTGCATTCCCACACCATCTGAATGGCTGGTTCCTTGTAATCATGTGGCAATAATTGATTCTGTCCTGATAGCAAATTTAGGTGTTTTTTTTTCCCCCCTCCTCCTTCAATGGAACTGGCTTAAATAATAAAATAGCTTCTAATTTTGACCGCCTGTTACTTAACATGATATTTATCCATAGACGATAAAGGTGCTTAAAATAGAAAAATCGTAGCACTTTAAAACAATTGTGTTGCTCAATGACATAACCGCTGTTTTATATTTATTTGATAAGGTGGCTTTCTGGTGACTCAGAGGATGCTGGACATGTTTAAGCGTCCCACGGACCCCCCAGAGTACAACTACCTGTATCTGCTCCCTGCTGGGACCTTCGTGGGCGGATACTTAGCTGCTCTCTCCAGCGGGTATAACATTGAACAAGTAAGAGACTCTTTGGGGAGTTTATGCTTTTGCCACTGTTTTTCTCTCACTGAATTTCTCTCAGGGAGTGACGTTCTCATTACCAGTATCCACACTCTATCATGCAGATGCAACAATGACTCTAGAAACATCTTGGTCAAATAAAGCATTGGGACCCTGGATTCTAGAGCCAGGTGGACCCACTCCCTGAATGTGCAAATGTGGGTTTCCCTGTGTGTCCCCAAGTTTTTCCACATGGATGAACAGTCGACAAGGTTATTAGCACCTTCTTTTCATACCTGGCTGGATTGGTGTAGGGATACAATGAAATAATCAGTAATAAATTTGAAAAAGTATATTAATTAAGTGCTATTAGTCCTTTTCTTACTCCCCACCCCCCCTTCCCAAAATCCAGTACATCATCTTTTGTTATCAGGAGGCGGTATGCCCATTAATTTTAAAAAGATAGTTTAAAAATGAAAACTCTATAACAAAACAAATAATCTAGTTGAACTTCGAAAGGTCTATATCTATAATAATAAAAATGTAATATGCTAATTGGACCAGACAGCAGAAAGACCTTCTGGACATCCTTTCCAATGTCCTTCCGGACAAAGCCGGGGCTGTGAGGGCCGCGGCAAGCCACCTCGGCTGCACGAATTTTGTGCATCAGGCCTCTAGTATAATTATAATACTCAACTTTGGGCTTGGTATTTTCTGTTTCTTCGCAATGACTGGGATTGAAACCTCCTCGATAGTAGGCAAATCATGTTTCCCTGGTTTCTCCTGCTTCCAACATGTAGCATTTGTTGAATGAGCACCATCTTTTTTGAGAAGAGTTGGAGCAGTGAGTCAGAGAGACCCATGTCTGACCCAGATTTGCTGCTTGCTGGTCAGCTGACCTTGGAAAAATTATGGAACCTCTTTAAGCTTTGGTTTTCTCTTCTGTGAATGAGGCTTAAGATTCTTTCCTCCCGTGGATCTCATGGGACTGAGTTACAACATTTGTGCAGTGTGTGGCCAGGTCCCCTGGCATATGCAGCGTCAGCAGTCGCTGCTTTTCGAGCATTTGGTTAGATCCCATCATGACATAATTTAGATTTAGTTACTCTCATATACATTTGTGCATGCATCAAGTCACGAAGAAACCAATTTACACAAATGGTATAATTGCAAGTACAATGGAGGGTATTTAGTATCCCTAATGGGTAGGAAAATATATCGAACTATTAAAACAAGAGCTCATAGTGGTCTCTCTATTGTCTGCATTTAAAGTTGTCTTTAGAGAATCACGTTTCCTTAAGAGAGGCCTTTTTTATGTTAATAGACCAAAAGTTTTGATATTCTCTCTCCTTCTCCCTCTTCCTCTCCCTCTCCACTTCCTTCTACCTCTCCTCTCCCTCTTCCCCCCCCCTCCCTCTCCATCTTCTTCTCTCTCCCCTCCCTCTTCCTTTGGGAAGATCATGTACCTGGGCTCAGGTCTGTGCTGTGTTGGTGCCCTGGCCGGCCTTTCCACCCAGGGAACTGCTCGTCTTGGCAATGCACTGGGCATGATCGGCGTGGCTGGGGGCCTGGCAGCCACCCTTGGAGGCCTGAACCCGAACCCGGAACTGTTGGCTCAGATGTCGGGAGCCATGGCTCTGGGCGGCACCATTGGTAAGCACGTGTGGGCTTCTGCCTTCATGCGAACCCATGCTCACTTCTCAGCCCGCTTTTGACTCAGTTTGATGTACTAAAACTCTGTAAATGTTTAGGGGTTGGGTTTGAGTGAGAATTATACCGACTGTGACGACTAGTCACCAAAACCAAATAGATAAATTATAGTTGCCAAAACAGGTTTGGCTTAGTGGCTAGAGCGTCGGCCTTCGGACTGAAGGGTTCCAGGTTCGATTCCGGATGAGGGCATATACCTTGGTGGGGGATGTGCAGGAGGCAGCTGATCGATGTTCTCTCTCATCGTTATTTCTGGCTCTCTGTCCCTCTTTTCCTCCCTGTAAAAAAAAAAAAATCAATAAAATATATTAAAAAAATAAATTATAGTAAAAACCAAGGTAATAATGCTATCTATACTGTTTAATTAATTTATCAGATTTTGTTATCAAGGCTCTTGAGGTCGTCCGTGTTTATTGTCTCTGGTAGAAATGCAGTCTAATGATGGACTGATGTTCATTTCTCTCCAACTCCGTGTTCAATGGCCACACTGGTGGCGTGACGGTGGCCGTGGTTTGACTTAGCTGTTGTGTTGACTGTCCAGACGTGGGAAAGCGCTGGAGAAAGTGCTGGTAATGCAGCTTCCACTAGAGAGTGTGCTGTGTCCTTAGCCATTATACTGTGAATAGCACAAAGACGGGACCAGTATCCTTCCAGTGTGTGCAAGCCTTTACCAGGCCCAGCGAAGTCATCGCTCACACGGTCGACGGTGAGCCAAGTGCTCACATGCCTCTCGCTTCACTTTCATCTTGTTTGTTACTGTTAACAAAATTACCAACCAGCATTCATGTGGGAACCACACTGCTTCATCATCGAACACTAGGTTGGCTGCAGCACCAGTCTGGCAAAAATCAACAAAAGCATTGTTGTGAAAATCGATTGGCCGTATGGAATTTACAGTCAAGAGTATTGTATACTTACTTCATCATTATTCGAAAACTGTGTGCTCCATTCCATTGATATGAGTAGAAAGTCGTGTGCGTATTTATACACACGAATATTTTTATCCCGAGGAGCTGGTAGCTAATAGTTTTCAGTACATTAGCTCTGGGCCCAATTTGTCCTGAAGGTCCCTAGAAAGACCCTGAAGGAAGGTGTCTGTGCTGGGGGTTCAGGCAGGAAAACCTTTAGACACTAGAAGCCCAGTGCACAACATTCGTGCACTGAGGATAGGGGGGCTATTCCTCAGCCCAGCCTACACCATCTTGCAATCTGAGACCCCTTGGGGAATGTCCGACTGCTGGTGTGGGGAGCAGGCCTAAGCTGGCAGTTGGACAGCCCCCCTTGGGTCCTTAGCACTGCCTCAGAGGCAGGAGAGGCTCCCACCACTGCTGCTGTGCTCACCGGCTGTGAGCCCAGATTCTGCATTGAGTGTCTGCCCCCTGGTGGTCAGTGCGCATCATAGCAACTGGTCGTTCTGCATTCGGTCGATTTGCATATTAGACTTTTATTATATAGGATAGGTTGAGCTCAGCATGTTTGCATCCCTGGGCCAGAACTGTGCAACTCCCTCAGAATTGCATGACTTGGACATTTATTACCCAGATATTTGCATTTCTTTACTTTTGGACTTAACCCCGTCCACCCACCTGAAAACCTAGGCCTTCTTCATGTTCAGCTGGTTCTCGTGTGCCGGGCCTGGGGCGCCCATGCCCTGGGGAGAGTTTCAGGGGACCTGAGGATGCGCTAGGCCAGGGCCACCTTCGAAGGCTGTGTAGGGAGGAGGCTCTCTGGAGCTGGGCCTTGGCTAGGTGTGGTGAGAAAACCTGCTGCTTTGAAGGAGTGTACCGTATTTTTTGGTGTATAAGACGACCTTTGAGACGAAAAAAAGTCAACCGAAAATCGGGGGCAAAAGACCAAAATCGCACAAAAATTACCTGCGGATCTTGACGGCAAAGTAAGTCTTTTCTTTGAAGTGGGGGGGGGGTAGTCTTATACAGCGAATATAGGCCCAAACCTGTTTTAACTGTAAAAAAATTAGGGGGTCGTCTTCTACGCCGGAAAATACAGGTAAGTAGCCAGCATCCTTACCGTTAGCCCATGCGAGGAAGCAGAAGCTTCTCGGCTGGGGACACGGAGGGAGCCCCTCACGGGCGGTCTTTGTAGCAGTTCCTCCTCCAGGGTCTGTCCCGTTGTCATTTCTCGTCGACCTGCCTTTCCCGACAGGACTGACCATTGCCCAGCGCATCCAGATTTCGGACCTACCTCAGCTCGTGGCCGCTTTCCACAGCCTGGTGGGCCTGGCGGCCGTGCTGACCTGCGTGGCCGAGTACATTGTGGAGTACCCGCACTTCGCCACAGACGTGGCGGCCAACCTCACCAAGATTGTGGCCTACCTCGGCACTTACATCGGCGGCGTCACCTTCAGCGGCTCCCTCATCGCCTACGGGAAACTGCAGGGTAAGTGAGCCAGCAGCCCAGGGAGGTGAGAGTCTATTGTTCAGCGGGGCCAGGAGGGCCTGGTACCATTTCAGAAAGCAGCAGAACAGGAGAACCTGTTAGGGGAACCTTTCCGGTGCAGAGTTTGTGTAGCCCTCAGGATACACAAACCTTTTTTCTCTCCACGGAGGTGCTTCCCTCCATGGATCCTCACAGGTCTGCTGAGGTCTTGTATGGCTTGGGAGCTTCTGTGTGCAGTGAGCGCAGGGACCCTGGACGCAGGAACATGACTGACATTGACTGATACATGTGGACAGAGTGACATCGTCAGAATCCATGGCTTCCAGAACAGAAGGAAGCTCGAGTGCATTTGTGTGATTCGTATACGGCACTTGGAAACAAATACACATTTCTGGGTTCTCGTTTGGCAACGTTTGCTACTGCTCACACCACACAGGAAAACAGAAGTAAAGAAAACCCCCCACCGAGGCTGCTTCCGGCGTTTTCATGGAAGCAGGAGTCTTGAGAGGCACTAGCTTGTGATTCAAAAATCTCAGTAACCGACTCATTAAAATTCAGTGGGAACTTCCACGGAACTTAAACGTCACAGGAAGAACTGCCCGCCTCAGACTGTGGTCGGCAAACTGCGGTCCGCGAGCCACATGCAGCTCTTTGGCCCCTTGCGTGTGGCTTTTCCACAAAAATACCACAGCCTGGGCGAGTCTATGTTGAAGAAGTGGCGTTAGAAGAAATTAAAAAAATTTGGCTCTCAAAAGAAATTTCAGTCGTTGGGCTGTTGACATTGGGCTCTGTTGACTAATGAGTTTGCCGACCACTGGCCTGAGACATTCTGCCTGACCCTTTGTCCTCAGAAACAGCCAGCACACCGGCCCCTCCTTCCCGGACTCAGGGATGGAACAGGAGTACTGTGTGCTGGGACCTTCTTCTGAAGTTTTCAGTGGAGAAAACAACGTTTATCCTCTGGGTTGGTCCCACGGGGAGTGACTTTCCGGGGTTCCGTGGCCAGAGTGAAGGGGTGCAGTGGGACCCTGGAGGGGGTGGGGTGGGCACAGTTCCATGGAGGCACGTGTTTCCCGTGTCCGCTAGTTTTCTGCTATGAGGAGGAACTCGAACTGGCTTTGGTGGCTCGGCATCTAGGGAGAGGAAGTGATGTTTCGAACGCCATGTTTTAATTCTAATGTTGCATGCTGGCAGCGTAGGGTTAGAGGGCAGACACTGTGAGCAGGGGATTCTTTACGTAACCCTAAGAGTTTGGCTGTGAATTCAACACAGAACCTTTAAGACAATAAGTGACTTAAAGTTCTATCTATAGAAAACCACTGATGATCTGTTTTTACTTTGATTACATGGGTTTTTGTTTTATTTTGAACAATTTTTTGAAATTAAAAAAAATAAAAAATTATTATTATTATTATTATTATTATTATTATATATGTGCTTGATTCCAGGCATCCTGAACTCGGCGCCCCTCCTGCTGCCTGGGAGGCACATGCTCAACGCGGGCCTGCTGGCGGCCAGCTTGGGCGGGATCATCCCCTACATGCTGGACCCCAGCTTCGGCACGGGCATCCTCTGCCTGGGCTCCGTGTCGGCGCTCTCTGCCATCATGGTAAGAGTCGGAGAGGAACTCGTTGTGTTTTATCAGAGTACAGTCTAGTTAGAGTTCTATCTCTTTAAGACCCCCCAATGGGATAGATATGTTTTATTTTATTTTATTTAAACAGTATTTTTATTGATTTCAGAGAGAGGGATGGAGAGGGAGAGAGGGATAGAAACATCAAGGATGAGAGCGAATCTTCAATGGGCTGCCTCCTCTACGATCCCTGCTGGGGACCGAACCTGCAGCCCTCGCATATACTCTGACCGGGAATTGAACCATGACCTCTTATTTCATGGGTGGACGTTCAACCACTGAGCCACACCAGCTGGGCAAAACGAGACCGATTTTTACATAATCCTAAGAATTTGGCTGTGATTTCAACACAAAACCTTTAGAACGCGCAGTAACTTAAAATTCTATGTATTTACAACCACTGGTGATCTATTTTTACTTTGACTTATATAGCATGGATTTTTTTGTTTTATTTTGAACAAAAGAAAAATAGTTTTGATATATTTATTTTTTAATCTAACAGGGCAGAAGAAGTAAAAAAAAAAAAAAAAAAAAAAGTGCCAAAATCAAACCTGTGCATTGAAATGTAAAACTCCAAAAATTGTTACTTTTGAGGAGAGGTGAATTGGATTAAAAATACTTAATGACTTTATGAGAATGAATAAAATATTTCATGGCCTAATATATTTGGTTTTCACTTAATTTAGCAATTTATGAATACATTCACACTGTAACAAACTCAGGGTATATAGGAATATGTGGAATAAAAAGCAAAAATCTTTCTTTCCACAAGCCCTTTTCCTCTCTAGTTTAGTGATTTGGGATTGCATCATGGATATCGTGAATGACAGAGACTTTGGAGTCTATTGTGTTCCTCCAAAGAGTACTGGTTATAAGGATTTTAGGCAGCTCACTAGGCTGGATCCAGATTTCAAATTCTGGCTCCCGGTGGCAGAGGGCAGCTGTCATCTTAAAAAAAAAAAAAAAAAATTCCAACCAGCCTTTCCTTTCAGTATTACTCTGTCTTAGTTTCTGGTGCACAGCATAGCGGTTAGACAATTTACCCAGTGCTCCCTCTGATTTTTCAAGTACTCACCTGGCACCATTCTCAGGTACTCCAACATCGTGGACTGTCTTTCCTATGCATCGTTTCCATCTCCGCAATCTACTGTCCTTTCATCTTCAGGAGGATTGATTGGAGTCTGCCCGCATGTGCCCCTTGCTCAGGAGTCAGCCGGAGACGTGGGCAGAGTTCATGCCCAGAATGTGGGGCTGGCTTTCTCTAGCCTACTCCTGCGCTGAACTTACTTTCTCACTTCCCGAACTGCCTAGTGAGGCTGTGGGGCTGTATTTTGTTTGAGCTGTTTCACGTGGCACAGCAGGGCCTGCCCTTAGGCTAAACCATAAAAACTGGGAAATGCGGAAACCCGGTTTTGCTCAGTGGATGGAGCGTTGGCCTGCGGACTGAAAGGTCCCAGGTTCGATTCTGGTCAAGGGCATGTACCTTGGTTGCAGGCACATCCCCAGTGGTGGGCGTGCAGGAGGCAGCTGATTGATGATTCTCTTTCATCGATGTTTCTAACTCTCTATCCCTCTCAATAAAAAAATCAATAAAATATATTAAAAACAGAAAAACAAAACAAAACTGGGAAACTCACTCAGCACTGCCCCTGGTTTCCAAGTGTGGATTCCTCCCCTGTTCCTGCCTGCTTTTCATCCCTGCCTTTTAGGGGTGGGGGGTTCCTGGTGGGGCAGGCGGGTCAGGGTTGACGCGTGCTGTATCTGCGGGAGACGTGGCCAGACAGGAGGTGCCTGGTCATGGGCAGGCGGACACGTGCATGTAGTGATCGCCTTTGGAAAACGGGATGGTGAAGAAGTATTGCACTTGTTTTGAGTTGTGCTTTGCTTATCGCCCCCCAGGGTGTGACCTTGACGGCGGCCATCGGGGGCGCGGACATGCCCGTGGTCATCACCGTGCTCAACAGCTATTCAGGCTGGGCCCTGTGCGCTGAGGGCTTCCTGCTCAACAACAACCTGCTGACCATCGTGGGTGCGCTCATCGGCTCCTCCGGCGCCATCCTGTCCTACATCATGTGTGTGGTAAGTCTTACATCACGTGTGTGGTAAGTCCTACATCACGTGTGTGGTAAGTCCTACATCATGTGTGTGGTAAGTCCTACATCATGTGTGTGGTAAGAGACACGCGCTTGGCAGACCGGGAATGGGGTTCTGCACGTGAGGGTGCACCTGTCATTTCTGTTACTGGCGGCAAAAAGGACCACCTCAGCTTTCATTCTCTTCTGCAGAAATACCAGTGTGTAAACCTTTGAATAAATTTGCAAGGCTACTTTTATTTTAATTTTTTATTTATTTTAAAATTATTATTATTATTTACATATGTGTTCTTATTCCCCCACCCCTCCCTCATGCCCCACTCCCCTGTTGTCTGTGTCCGTATGCATATAAATCCTTTAGTTGATCTCTCCCTTTTACCCCTACTCTCCCCTACCTTCCCTGAGGTTTGACGTTCTGATTGATGTTTCTCTGTCTCTGGATCATTTATGTTGTTCATTATATTCCATAAATGAGTGAGATCATGTGATATTTGCAAGGCTGTTTTTAAAGTACTCAGTGTAGATAATTAGAAAAACTAAAATCTTCTGACTCCGCCCGGAATAACTACTTCAGGTTTTGGGTTATTTCCTTCTGTTCTTTCTTTGTGACTTACATATCAATGTATTTCCTTGTCCGATCACCAGGTACACTTTCACATTTAATTTTTAAATCTTACAAACCATGTTCTTGCCATTTTCTTATTAAAAATGCTTTCTTGGTATTATTTTAAGGGACTTCAGCACTAATCTATTACATGGATATATAAAAATATATTTAATTTTTCCCTAATGCTGTACCTGTTAGGTTGTGTGATTTTTATTTCTCTTTGTACACACATACGTCGTTGGCACTTCTGATTTGTTGTCTTAGGATTGATTCTTAGAAGGGCGAGGGTGTGCTCATTTTTAGGGGCTTCTTCTGCTCAGCCCCATGCTGTTTCGGGAAAGCTTGCTGCAATTGACACTTCCACTGGTCATCTGAGAGAGTTTTGTGGTCAGCCTGGTTTGTTTTAGAAGAAAAGAAAAAAAGTTAACAAGAAAAATACTTCCTAGCTTCCTTTTTGTTTGTAATTCTCTTCTTGATGGCAAGAAGATATCCTGCAAATAATTAAAGGCTTGACTAGAAACCTTTTTCCAATTATAGATGCTATTCTCTAAATAATCGTTTTGAATGACTGTGAAAGGACAAGCATGAGACTGAGTGAAATCAGCATGTGAACTTCACACCGATTAATAATTCAGAAAGAATACTTAACCCACCTTCATTCTTTTATTACATTATTTAAAAACCCTTACTTGACAACTGAGACTTTTTCTTATATTTTAATTGAAAAAACTCATTGTTAATTGAATGCTTTTTATAATAAAAAATTAGTTTTCTTCAGTCATATTGTAAAACAAAAGATTTGATAGCCCAAGTTTAAAACCAAGTTAAGAGCTTTTAAAATTAAATCCCTCTAGCCCTAACTGGTTCGGCTCAGTGGATAGAGCATTGGCCTGTGGACTTAACTGTCCCAGGTTTGATTCCGGTCAAGGGCATGTACCTTGGTTGCAGGCACATCCCCAGTAGGGAGTGTGCAGGAGGCAGCTGATCGATGTTTCTACACCTCTCCCTTCCTCTCTGTAAAAAAACCAATAAAATATATTTAAAAAAAAAAAATTAAATCCCTCTAGTAACTAGTGTCTAGTTGTTGAGGAAATTTTGGAAATTGGGAGGTTCTGTGTCTCCTATTTGAAAAATGTTAGGCTTTGGAGTTTTTTTTGTTTTTTTTTTTAACCCAAATGTATATGAAGAAGAAAACATTCAGTTATAGTAGAAATATTTTTCTCCAAAAATGAACCTTTAACCCTTAGTTTGGCTTTGCTTCACTTAGTGAATGTAAATGACCAGCAGGGGGCAGCAGATTTTCACTAATACCTTTAAAAGCCCTGATTTTAAAATTAAATGAGAGGCTTGAATTTTAACACCGCTCCTGGCATTCTGGTCGGGGCAGAGGACCGAGGACTTGTACCTAGGTCTTGGATACCTTCATGGGTACCTTCTTGCCTTTCTCCTTTTCTTCCTACAGGGTTTTCTTCAGGTTCTTAAATGTATCAGCACTATTTGCCCAGTCTTGTCTGTCTGTGCCTCTTTTATTCCATCTCCATTTCCTTTCCTTCTTCATTCAGTTCCTTATTCTTTTTGGTTAGAGCAACTGCAGTAGCTTTGATAGCAGTTCTACAACTAGATAAGGTAAGAAGAGGCAGCAGTTGAAGATCCTCTTTTCTATGTCCACTTATGTATTATATCATCTTTTTTCTTAATTTTTTTTTCTATTTCCTTTCTCTTAATCTGTTTTCTCTACTTATTCTGTTTTCTTTTTAACGTTCTTTCTCTCTCCTCTGCCTCAGGCATACTGTCCGCTGCCAGCGGGCTTCAGTTATTTGTTACTCCTGTGCTGTGTGTAAGGTTAACAAGCTATTCTTATAGCTGGCTGTGACCACAAGTATCACATGGGGTCAGATTGATGCTCTGTAATAGCAAACTGTAGTCCTTTGGGCTCAGGGATGGCTGAAGTTTTAACCTTAAAAATTATGCAAATATAAAAATAAAAGGCATTTATTGTGGGAAATTTGGCAGAAAATAGGTAAGGATGGATAAGAAAAGAAAATAATCTATAATCCCATTACCAAGTAACTGTCCACATTTAATATTCTAATGATAGTCTTTTCACATGCATATGTTTAAATGCATTATATGACATGGTTTTCTAACAATTTTTTGGTGCCTGCTAAGATGGTATTATATCATACCCAAGTCCATATTATTAGTTGCTCTTACCTTTTTTTCCTGCAGTGCATTCTCCTCGGGCATCATTGGTTATTGTCTTTACGTTCAGTCGCTTGGTCAAGGTGGCTGTTGATATTGATAAAGGGGTCTCCACGGAGGCCTCGTTGCTGGTTCTCCCCGTGGGTGATGTGTGGAGCTGGCGTTTTACTGAACCCTCTGCCCCTAGGTCTTATTACAGAACAGACGGCAAAAGCAGGGCTGCTGTGGTTTTCAGTTTTGAAGACAGAAATGGTCTCCACTTCTACAGTTTCCTGGCTTTCTGACTTTTCACCTTTATCTTCAAGAATTCTTAGGATTCTGTGCTTGTTTGTGATAAGCAGTTGTTTCTTCGTGGTTGGTGCTTACTGGCAGCTCAGATAAAAATGACATATCTGCTGGTTGTTCATAATACTAATAAAAAGGACATATCTGTGGCGCTGGGTGCTATACAAATATTAGCTCACTTACTCCCCACGCAAACTCTGGAGGTAGGAAATTCTGTTCTCCTTTTGCAAGGAAGGTCTTTTAAAAAATCATGCATTATTCGCTTTTGTGTTTGTAGTCTTTTCACATGTACCGGGCATATTCAAATAAATACAACAGTTGTTAAATTAACGATTAGGTGAATGTTTTATTTGTTAGCTCTTTTCATATTTTGGAATCCTCTCCGGATAGGTTGTGGTAGCAGATATACTATCAAATATCGATATCTAGTATTACTAGCGGCATGTTTACCTTCGCTGCTTTATTATTCATTGAACCAGACGGGCGAGGCCAACCCCGACCAGCACCCTTTTGTTAAGCCAGAGGGGGTGGAATGCACCCGGGGCGGCTAAGGAACAGCCCCTGGAATTGGATTTCCTTTTGACAGAGAATCCCTGTGGGTGTCTTCGGAGCCTAATATCATGGTTACACAACACCCATATTATAAAAACGGACAAATGTCCACAGCGTCCCAACCACCAGCGCAAATGGACGCTGTGCTTTATATCCAGATGCCGCTAGACATTAACCTCTTTATGATTTTATGGTCTGTTTACTTGGAAAATGGAACGGCATTTTCAGACCAAATTTTTTGATTTTTGCATTCTGCTGCCCCCCCCCCCCCCAAAAAAAAAAAAAGAAAAGAAAATAGAACAGAATTAAGTGGATCAAAGCCAAACTGAAAAAAAACTTTTCTCTTTTGCTTTGCAACCAATTAATCAGCACCTACAAAGCATCGAAATGAGAGATGCTAGTCAACGGTATAGTGTTGTTATTGCTTTGGTTTGCTCCATGTCGTGACCTTTGTTTTTAGAGTTTTCTTCTTACATTTTGCTCAGAATTACGTGAATTAGAGGACCTCTTTAAAGCAGCATACAACTTTCATTATAGGGCTTAATCACTTAAAAGGCACAGTCTTGGCCTGGACTGCAAATGCTTTGTCTCGGAGCTGGGAGCTTTTCAATCTGGGGTCAGTGGTCACAGGATAGTCTCATTAATCACTTAGGCAAGCCAAAAAGAGAGAAAACAAAACAAAACAAAGCCCCAAACCCTAAACATTTGTTGAAAATAGGATGTTGCAATGGTACGTTCAGAGATGAAAAATAATTTCGTTTTTAAGAGACCACATGGAATTAGCTTAATGGTGATATAATTGTGGATACGTGTTTAACAAGTAGACTTTGATTGTTACACTACTGTGTGGTTCCCTGTTTTCCTCCCCAAGTTGCCATCCGGAATGGGTCCACATTAATGAAACGTCCTCAGATATTCTTTTCTTCTCCTCCACTCAGTTTTATAGGAAATGAAAAATGGTTCCTCCTAGGTCCAAATGCGATGTTGGGTTTGATGAAAGGGTTCTATCACCTACATCTTTCTCCGCGTCATGTCCCTCTGACCTCTGTCCCTTCACAGGACTGTGTGATGTAGGGGACGGAGTCTTTTTGTATGTTTGACTTGTTATTGTTTTTTTTTTTTAAAGTTATCTATGGCCCTAGCTGGTTTGACTCAGTGGATAGAGTGTCAGCCCTCAGACTGCAGAATCCCTGGTTTGATTCTGGTCAAGGGCCCATACCTTGGTTGCAGGTTCCCTGGCCCTGGTCAGGGTGTGTGCAGGAGGCAACCAATCAATGTGTCTCTCTCACATCGATGTTTTTGTCTCTCCCTTTCCCTTCCACTCTCTCTAAAAATCAATGGAAAATTTTCCTTGGGTGAGGATTAAGATAGTTATCTACAGAAATATCTCAATGTTTTAAATAGGTCTTTGAATCAGTTTTTAAGGGCAAAAAAAAAAAATGGTGGAAACTATTTTTGGTTATTTATTTTCAGAATCCTGTGATTTAAAACTAGATAGAATTGATCAAAATCAATAAATATTGAATGTTTGGGAAGTCTCGGCTATGGCTATGTAGATTTTCATTAAACCTTGGATTTAAGTAGAGGAGGTGGTGTTCAGCATTTAAACTTCATGTCAGGTGGGGACTATGAATATAAAAACATTACTTTAATATATCTCTGCCCTTCTTATCTATTAATAATATACATAAAAACATCCTGAGTTTTATTTTATACATTACTAGAGGCCCTATGTGTGAATTCATGCACCAGTGGGGCCCCTTCGCTTGGTCTGTAGGATCGGGCTGAAACCAGCTCTCTGACATCCCCCAAGGGGTCCTGGATTTCAAGAGGGTGCAGTCCAGGCTGAGGGACCCCACTGGTGCATGATGGGGGCCAGGGAGGGATGCAGGAGGTTGGCCAGCTGGGAAGGGTCTGCAGGAGGGCTCCAGGTCATGTCAGGCCCATGTCACTCAGTCCCGATTGGCTGGACCCCAACAGCAAGCTAATCTACTGGTCGGAGTGTCTGCCCCTGGTGGTCAGTGCATGTTATAGTGATTTGGTTAAGCATCCTTAACATATCATTAGCATATTATGCTTTGATTGGTTGAATGGATGATGGGACACATAGCATATTAGGCTTTTATTATATAGGATGATCTTAAACAAGTTTACTAGACTCTGGGCTCCTTAAAATGTGAATGTTGTACTCATCAGTGAACTTAGGTCAAAAGAATAGTTTGAAAAATTATGACATTTTGATCTATCATCTTTGCAAGTCAGATTGTTGGCATGCTGCCCTTGGTCAAGTGTGGCTCTCTGCCCCTTCTTCTCTGTCCCCTCAGCAGCTCACCGGCCTGTCCCCTGAATGTGGCAAACGGTGGGCTGTCCTTGGATGGGCGGTCATGTGCTTCTCTCTGATGTGTTATTTGTCACTGCAAATCTCCAGGTGCCTTTTGCTTTTATTTATTTATTTATTTATTTTTAAAATATATTTTATTGATTTTTTACAGAGAGAAAGGGAGAGATAGAGAGCTAGAAACGTCGATGAGAGAGAAACATCGACCAGCTGCCTCTTGCACACCCCCTACTGGGGATGTGCCCACAACCCAGGTACATGCCCTTGACTGGAATCGAACCTGGGACCTTTCAGTCCGCAGACCGACGCTTTACCACTGAGCCAAACCGGTTTTGGCAAATATACATTTCTTTTTTTCTTTTTCTTTTTCTAAAATATATTTTATTGATTTTTCACAGAGAGGAAGAGAGAGGGATAGAGAGTTAGAAATGTTGATGAGTGAGAATCATCGACCAGCTGCCTCTTGCACATCCCCTACTGGGGATGTGCCCGCAACCAAGGCACATGCCCTTGACCGGAATCGAACCTGGGACCTTTCAGTCTGCAGGCCGACGCTCTATCCACTGAGCCAAACCAGTGCCGGCGCCTTTTGCTTTTAAATAATCATGAGTCTTTTTGAAAAAAAAAAAAAAAGTAATAGATTGATACTCATATAGCTTATAAGTGGCTCAATAATATGTTTATTACAACTCCTTTTTATATAATATATTTTATTGATTTTTTACAGAGAGGAAGAGAGAGGGATAGAGAGTTAGAAACATCGATGAAAGAGAATCATCAATGAGCTGCCTCCTGCACACTCCCTACTGGGGATGTGCCCGCAACCAAGGTACATGCCCTTGACCGGAATTGAACTCGGGACCTTTTGGTCTGCAGACCGACGCTCTATCCATTGAGCCAAACCGGTTTCGGCCATGTTTATTACAACTCTTAAAATAGGGTTTAGTAATTTTGGGTTTGTTTTTTTTTTTTTTAAGTGAGAAGTTCTGTTGTGATTTTGTGGAATGACTGCTTTGATCATGTACAAAGGTTTGAAGTCTTAGGATGTAGTGGATCCCTCAGAACACCTGGCTTCTTCCTCCACCTGCCTTGAAAAGGCCATACCGCAACTGTTTTCAGAACCCGATCAGTTATCAGCATGTTTCTGTGGTGGTGTTTGAATGGGACATTGTTGGGTGATTTTTAAAGGAGCAACTAGAAGTGCCTTCCTACTGTTTCTCTCCCCCCCGCCCCCCCCCCAATATAATTTTTTTCTGGTTAAACGGGTGGGTGTCTATTTTACTAAAAAAGTGTATAAGCTCACTCATCTAGCTTTTTGGAAATGAAATATTTTAGGAGTCTAGGGATGAGTCCAGTCATTTCTATAGCTTCACAGAGCCGATTTAGAAAGTCCGACCCTGTCAACGTCTACATTTATCTTTCTGGACGGCAGAGGGCAGCAGAGTTCTAAATGAGAAGCATCCCTGCCCCTCCCCTCTGGCTTGCCTCTGGACAGCTTGCAGCTGGCAGTGGAATTCACCTGAGAGCTCTCTCGGGTCACCTTGTAAAACTTCCTATTCCTGTGCCTTCCTTGTTCTCCTGAAATACAGGTGAATGTGGAGGTACAATTTGCTTGATCCATGTACAGGTGATAGTAACCAGGTCTGAGTTTTTCATTAATTTCTTAATGTTACTGGTAACTTTCCTTGAAATGCCTTAACAAACTTGACTCTCTTGCTGAAATATATTCATGTATCCTTGATTCTATAGGAAAAAGAATGAGGTTTCCCAGATATCTTCATTTACACTTTTGAAATAATTTTCAGAAGCTAGATAAAATTATGTGGTTAAAATGTTTTAGATGATCAACTATACCTCTTTATGGAATATTTCTGAATATCATATATTCAGGTCATTTTCCAAAAGTCATGTGGATTAAACTCTCACAGCGGATAATTTTGCTTTCCAGGCAATGAATCGCTCCCTGGCGAATGTGATTCTTGGAGGCTATGGTACTACTTCAACAGCTGGCGGAAAACCCATGGAAATTTCTGGCACACATACGGAAATCAACCTGGAGAATGCCATCGACATGATTCGAGAAGCTGGTAGCATTATTATTACTCCAGGTACAAAAAAAAAGGCATTGTCATTGATTACATTAACAATTTCTTATAATAGGAAAACATCTAATCGGCACTTGTTTGTTTTTGAAAACATAATGGGAACTTAGAAGCAACTCTGTTGTTGTATAGTGAAAGATATTGAGAATTTCCAGCTTGTGTTAATATTTTGGAGAACACATAAGAGATTCTATAAATTGATGGACGTGGTGCTAGCCATGCCTTCCAGTGATTCTGTATAAATGTTGAATTATTTTCAAGTCTTAGTTGTTTATTCCTTATTGATAATTTTTGAGCCTGTTGTCAGGATAAAGTTAGATATAATATATGAAAGTAGCTCACTCTTAAACTTGCTCAGTAAATGTTCATGTCTTTCTTTTTAAAAACAAATATTTAAAAAATCTTTGCGATTCCTGTGGTTTCCACCAAGGTGAGGGTAGGTCGCCTAGTGAGGAGCTTGGTCTGGGAGTCATTGCCTCTCATTTTGGTTTAATCTTGCTTCTGACAATCGACATGACATTGTCCAAGTCTTTTGTTCTCTTCAGGCCTCAGTTTCTTTCTTTCTTTCTTTCTTTTTTTTTTTTTTTTTTAAATGTTTTATTGGTTTTAGAGAAAAAGAGAGAGAGAGGGAGAAAGAAACATCAATGATGAGCGAGAATCATTGATCAGCTGCCTCCTGCATGCCCCTACTGGGGATTGAGTCTGCAACCCGGGCATGTGCCCTGACCAGGAATTGAACTGTGACCTCCTGGTTCATGAGTCGATGCTCAAGTGTTGAGCCACACTAGCTGGGCAGTTTCCTTCTTTTCTGAAGTTGCCTTTAGTTCTTCTTCACTGTGAAGATAATGCTGTGGTATTACAGGCAGCAGATTAAGATTTTAACGCTGTCATGTTACATCATAGGCATTTTCTGTAAAGAAAATCTGTTGATTTGACATGTGGGTAGTTAGTTGTTGGTTGGTTCTATACCAAGATATAAGTAAGCATTAGCATAACTGGATGTTCAGGTACAAGCCTTCTTACCTGGGCCATATCCCCTTCTGCAGACATTGGAGACAGGGGCTGGGGTTGGCTGTCTCAGCGACCGGGCGGTTGCTGTCTGCTCTGTGTGGGAGCAGGTGCACTGCATTTGCTAGAATGCTTGGGACATTCCCGCAGAAAGAATCATTTCCCCACAGCGGGCTTGGTGTCACCTGCTGAGAAGCGGTGCTGGAGGGGGAAGGTGGGAAGATGTGAGGGACTGACAGACAGACAGAGACAGAGAGAGAGCCAAAGGGAACACGCCGTGTGGGTGGTGTGCTGGGGCGGGTGTGCCCAGCGGTGTCAGTCCTGCACAGGACTGCGGAGGGACCGTTAGAGTTTGAAGTTGAAATGTAGGCCGGTATTTAAAAAATTCCATGTGATAAGTTTGCTTTCATTTTTTTAGTCCTGTTTAGGGATTGCTTTTTTTTTTTTTTTTTTTTTTTTTTTTTTTTTTGCATAACAATGTTTCCATCCAAGAGGAATTTCAAAATAAAACCGCATTCTCCCGTGTTCTTGGCGTCCCCGCAGGCTACGGACTGTGTGCGGCCAAAGCGCAGTACCCCATCGCCGACCTGGTGAAGATGCTCACGGAGCAGGGCAAGAAAGTCAGGTGCGTCCGTGTGCAAGCAACGCCGACGGCCTCGCTGTAGATTCCTGTTTCCTTTCTGGTGTAACCCGGCCTGCAGTTTCTAGTCAATAAGAAAGGAATGCGTGCTTATTGAATACAACCAGAAAAACACATATGTAGTGCTAGTAAGGAGGAAGAAGCAAAAAGTGATCACAGTCCCTCTACCTGGAGATGGCCCCTCTTTGGCCGAGTTCACCGTTCTCTTTATGTGGCGGGGACACTGGCCGCAGCTGTAAGTTGACGCTTGAACAGCCACCCCCGTTTCTGCTGCTCCATATGCTCAGAGGAACTCCTCCATAACGAACTACAGGGGCGGCCCCCAGAGGTCCCAGGCTCCCTACCCATGGGTTTGAACGGTAGGAACAGGAGCATTGGTCCGGCGCTGGGCTCAGACACCATTCCTGAGGCCCGAGGTGAGCAGGTCAAAGTGAACACCAGGGGTGGGGAACAGCCGGCCTGTGGGTGTCTAAGGCCCGTGAAATCATTTGGCCTGGCTTTGCGAAGGCATTAGGGGTGAGTTCATTAAATATTTGACCAAACATAGTAGACCAAATTAAGGGAAAAAAATTATTATTATTTGTAATTCTTACCCAAGGATATTTTCCCATTGATTTCAATAGAGTGGAAGAGAGAAGGAGAGACAGAGAGAAATTTCGATGCGAGAGAAACATTGCTTGGTTGCCTCCCGCATTCCCCCAGACCAGGGCCCAAGGCCCAGAAAGAGCCTGCAACCCAGGCACATGCCCTTGCCCGGAATTGAACTGGGGCCTATCAGTCCGCAGGCCGACGCTCCATCTGTTGAAGCAAACTGGCTAGGGCAGCAGGCTAATTTTTAAGTTGATAATTCTGTATGACCTTTGGATGATGCTATAAATGTCCAGATAGCCCCTGGCAGAAAAAGACCCTCTCCTCCCTAGTCTAGGCCAACACTGTGCAGTAGACCCGTCATTGCTTGCCCTAGCCCAGTGGTCGGCAAACTGGGGCCCTGTTGACTAATGAGTTTGTCGACCACTGGGATAGGGGCGTAATCACAAGGAACAACAATGGCCTGTAAATATTGGAACTGAGAGTCTAGGTCAGTGGTTGGCAAACTCATTAGTCAACAGAGTGGCAAACCGTGGCTTGCGAGCCTCAGTTTGCCGACCACTGCTCTAATAGATTTGAAATTTCAATACTGGCTTTGTAACAAATTTTGCAAATCTTGCGTTTGCTTTAAATGGAAGAGAAGGATTTTTGCTAACAGGATGACAGTGGATTACCATCATTTTCCTTTCTTCTGGGTGAAGATCTCTTACTTATTTGAAGGGAATCATAGGGACTTGGTTGACTCTGCCTCGGGTGCTGCCGTCTTTTCACAGGAGACAGGCTTTCTTTACGAGGTTGGGACTGTGCTGATCCGTTGATGCTGGCTGCCTTTCACAGAGGCGGCCTCTGTCTGACCAGGAGGCTGCTGCCGTGGCTACCCTGTTCTTTAAAGGGAGAAACTGTGTTTGCAGTCGCGGTACCTCGGTCCTTTCCTCACCGGGCGCCCCCACGGGCTCCTGGAGCACAGCTGCGGGCCGCTGGCTCAGGAGCTCTGAGCCGCAGGCCCCTCCCGCCCAGCATCCAGATGTGGTGACATACCTGCACACAGCCCTCATGGACACGGGCCAGTGTGCACATGTGACTGTCATCCATGAGTGATGCCTAAGTGGTGCCAAGAAAAATCCCATCTGTCACCCAGCCCGTCTGAGTGACTGACTTCATGGCTCGTGATGGATGCAGAGACGCTGCCGTCTCCCTCCTGGGCCGAGGTCAGCACACGCTCCCCGGGAGCTGAGGTGCAGCGGGTCCGAGGCCTCTCTGGACGGGGCTCGTGCGGATCATCGGGAAAGCATTAGGCTTAGACTTTCTTTACTGGCCACAGGGTTGTCACTTCCCAGTTGTCAGGAACACCTTTGGGCTCGCCTAATTCATGCTTGATTTCTGCAAGCTTTTTACAAAAAAATCTTACAAGAGCACAGCCATCTCTTCTTTTTTTTTTTTTCTTTAAAAAATATATATTTTTATTGATTTCAGAGGGAGAGAGAGAAAGAGAAACATCTATGAGGGGAATCATTGATTTGGTTGCCTCCTGCACACCCCACACTAGGGATTGAGCCCATAACCTGGACATGTGCCTTGACTGGGAATCGAACCGTGATTTCCTGGATCATAGGTCGACACTCAACCACTGAGCCATGCCGGTCAGGCTAGACATGTCTTCTTGATATTTCCCAGCCTTTGCATTGCTATGAGAGGCTTTTCATTATAAAGCAGAGATAGTGTTGCCAATGAATAATTAATTCTTAGGAAGAGTTGTGCTTTTAAAAAAATAATTAACCACTGCTTAATTTTTTTTAAAAATTATGTTTTTATTGATTTCAGAGAGGAAGGGAGAGGGAGAGAGAGATAGAAACATTATTGATGAGAGAAAATTGTGGATTGGCTGCCTTCTGCATGCTCCTTACTGGGGATCAAGCCCGAAACCTGGGCACGTGCCCTGACTGGGAATCAAACCAATCAAACCAAAGCAAAGTCTGTGTCTTCATTCACGTCTGAGTTCAACCTACGTGCAGAGTCGCCAGGAACTTCTCAGATGGAAGGGATCTGCTGTGCTCCTAGGACGTGGCCTCTTCTCGCGGGTTCTGACTGTTGGCCAGACTCCCTTGGGCTGCAGACTGTCCCCTGCCTGTTGGTGTGAGGAGAGCACGCATGGCTGTGCTAAAAGCCTGTGACTCGGTGCTTTGCAAAGCCGTGCATTCTGGACTCCTCCCTTGGAAGCCCTTGTGGTCCGAGGGAAAAACTCACAGCCGATGAAGCCGAGACCTCTGAGCACCGGGGTGACGTTGGGTTCTGAGTCCCAGTATTAGTGAGAAGGAACTCTCTGAGCTGTTTCTCTTCAATGGGGTTCAAGAAAACATAAATAAACAAAGGTCCTCTTCCCATTTCTCGTCCAAAGTCTTCCATAGCTTGCGTATAGTGTGTGTCTCGGGCTGCTCACTAGCATTGCACTTCAGGAGCCACTCAGCAGCAGCGTTAGTGCTTCTGACAGAAAGATGAAATTAGGTATAGTTCCTGCCACATCTCTGCACTCTGTCAGAATATAGTATTCCAGAACATTAGTGGCAACATAGATGTTTAGTATTGTCTCTGATGTCATTCTTCCTGACCTAATGGGCTGTTTGGAAATGCAGTTGCTTCATAGTCCTTCTGTTTCTCTCCTGGGCCTGGTAGCTGGATTTGGTTCAGGGATGGGAGAGCCCTATGTGGGCCCAATCTGTGGTAATCTCCTCCCTGTGGTCAAGGTTGTGCTTGCACGAGATCGCCCGATTGCACCCTGTTTGGAAGACTTCTTGTTCTTGGGGTGGCCTCTGTGGCACAGGCCACATGAGCCCACGGGAGATGTGACCACCGCCCTTTGTCAAACATTCATCATAGAACAGGTCGTATTAATTCTGTCCTAGAAAAAAAATGGGGCCCCTGGGACCTCATTGTGAGCTCTTTACCAAATTTGTCATTTTCTTCCCGAAGAAAGGCAGGCCATGGATGCACACCAGATTTCTGATCAGAGTAGCAGCTCGGCTCTTATTTGCCTTCAAAAAAGGAAAAGGAAAAAAGAGAAAGGTACATAATGTTCTCTCGTTCTAGCTGTTGGAAAGCGCTAGGACATGAGACGAACATTTTCTTTTCATTTGGAATCGTGTGAGTGAGTTCGTCAGGACTACTGCTGGTCGGAAGGACTTTCACAATTTTAGAAAGCTGGGTGTCTATCCTTTGCCTGAGAAGCTTGGCCAGAAAGTTGATTCTGTAGCTTCCCTCATTAATCAGTTTGTGTGGACACGGTCTGCCTTGTCAGGAAGTTTTCCCACTCGTTACCAGGTTCCTCCTCTAATGGATGGGCTGACCCCACCCAGCTGGTCCCCGCCTTTTCATCAGTAAGGATTAATTTATGTTCCATTTCCCCTGCTTCACATTTTATAAACTTTTCTTTGAACGACATTTACTACAAAATAGCTTTTTCATGCGCTTTGTGTAAGTGACTGGTAACTGTTAATTAGAAATTCTGATCAAGTTGTAATATACCAAAGAAACCTGCCTTTTTCAGATCCCATCTTATTTTTCACAAGTAAAATGCACAATTAGTAAAAAATATTGAAAGTAGTAACAAATCTTTTTATTACCTCAAAGGACCCTTCCCGGGATGGTGCATTGCACATGCAAACATACAATCAAAGGTCCTTCGTGTGTAGCACATACGGGAACTCATTCTGGCCTCAAAGGGGAACTACAGCCTGTTTTGTGACTCAACAGTTTGTACATGTTTACATGCTGTAATTCTGAATAAAGGAGTCGTACCTTAGGAAGTAGTTGGGTTAGAGAATCTTTTCTTTTAATATATTTTTATTGATTTCAGGGAGGAAGGGAGTGAGAGAGAGAGAAACATCAACGATGAGAGAGAATCATTGATCCACTGCCACACTGGGGATCGAGCCCACAACTCGGGCATGTGCCCTGCCTGGGAATTGAACCCATGACCTCCTGGATCATACCGGCTGGGCAGGAAACAATACTTTGCCTAATGGTATCTGTGGAAGGGTTGAAGATGGCCTTTTGAAATTTGACTCTATTAAAGTAAATCTGTATTGTAATATTAGTTATGACCAAATTCCCAATGAGTTTAGTCTTCACAATTGTTAGCCTCAACCTCTGTTGAGTATCATTTCTCTAGTCTTTTTTTTTTTTTTAATATTTTATTGATTTTTTTTTTTTTTTTTTTTTTACAGAAAGGAAGGGAGAGGGAAAGTTAGAAACATTGATGAGAGAGAAACATCAATCAGCTGCCTCCTGCACACCCCCTACTGGGGATGTGCCTGCAGCCAAGGTACGTGCCCTTGACCGGAATCGAACCTGGGACCCTTGAGCCCACAGGCTGATGCTCTCTCCACTGAGCCAAACAGGTT